TTTTCTTCTTAACATGCAGGCTGAATGTATATGTATTCTTTGTTCAGGAACCACTCAGGACTGAACTGCCCCCCCTCTTCTGGCTCCATCAGGAAGTGTTTCCACGATAACAACAACTCCCTTATCTTAACCCGGAAACAGTTCAGAAAAGGTTTGTATACTTTTATGTCTTAAAGAAAACATGAACATCTCAAAAAGTCCGATGTGGCCATCAGATACTTCACCTGTAAAATCCAGTGTCATCATCCAAGACATCACGTTCATACACAAACATACACACCTGGGCCCTGTTCTTCAAATGTGGCTTAACAAATTTGACCATTCATATGATTGGCTGAGTGCTGGTCATGTGATTGGAACAACAACAATTTACAATTAACAACAAATATGTGCAATGGGCCAGGTTCGTGCATGTTACGACATGAAGTGATATTTACATGTGCAGAGATGATTGTATTATTTAAGGAGGGAGAGTGTCAGTGGGGGGCCCGGGCCTTGTTGATGAGTTGCAGATGGGTAGAATCTGTTTTTGTGGCAAGAGGTTCTGGTCCTGATGGACCGCAGCCTCTTACCAGAGGGGAGAGCCTGAAACAGTTTGTGGCCAGGATGGGAGGCATCAGCTGCAATCTTTCCTGCTCGCCAAAGGAGTCCTGGAGGCGTGCAGGTCCTGAAGTGATGGAAGATTGCAGCCAATCACCTTCTCAGCAGAGCGAATGATTCGCTGCAGTCTGCCCTTGTCCCTGCCGGTGGCAGCAGCGTACCAGATGGTGATGGAGGAGGTGAGGATGGACTCAATGATGGCGGTGTAGAAGTGCACCATCATTGTCTTTGGCAGGCTGAACTTCTTCAGCTGCCGCAGGAAGTACATCCTCTGCTGGGCCATCTTGGTGAGGGAGGTGATGTTCAGCTCCCACTTGAGGAGGGAGATGATGGTGCTCAGGAAGCGGAAGGAGTCCACAGTGGTGACGGGGGAGTCACTCATTCATATTCATTCATAAGTCTTATTTTATGTGTGTTCCTTCATCTAGTTTAACGTTTTGTTTCCACACATTGATCATTGTTAAACATGCAATATTACCAATGACTGTGGTAAGACAACAATTAATGCTGCTGCATGAAAGGGGAGGTTTAACTTCTTTATTGATTATTTACATTAAAGTGGCGCCTCTAGCCGGAGATGCCCCAAACACATACAGCTTATTTCTATTATGGTCCTTTTAGGGGAGGTAGAGGGAGGAGCATCACGAAAAGGCAGCAAGTATTTTACTAGCAGCTTCTGAAATACATATTATTTTAATGACAATACAATACAATGATAGTTATCCATAAACAATCTTGGATAACTCATTTATCCACGTACGGAGAACGGAGCTCTACAGTTTAAAATAATTAAGTTTATATCTGCTGTATTTGTTTGTTGTACAGAAGTGTTCAGCAGAAACCTCCAAATCAACAGAGTCTCCTTGGAAATTCTTTTAAAATAATCTACAGGAAGCAAAATCTTGAAAACAAGAAAACTATTTTATAGTTAAAATGTCAGAAACATTGAACTTGGATGTGTTTCTGGACTCTTCAGATATTGGTTATTTAAGGTCTTTAGGAAATAGCTTAGTGCAACATGAAACCATATGATGATTCTCAAATTAGACAGCAGGGGGCGTTAGAGGTAACAGAGAGGTCTGAATCTTCTGCAAACAAAGACAACGTCACCAGAACAGGACGTTCACTTTTGAAGTAAATTTATTGAGTGTTTGGTTCAGATTTTCTCTTTTGTTGTCATTTCAACTTTAAGATTCTTTCATGAAACACTTTTGAGAGTTCATTCTATAACAGGATCAGTTTAAATGTGTGATCCTGGTCTGATCCTGATCAAGGTGTGTGTGTTGTCAGGGTCTTGCAGCTCAGACAGCAGCTCTGACGCGTCACTACACTCGTCTGACGGCGAGGACGAACATCTGAGGAACAACCAGAGACAAGAAGAGAAGGACAGCACCACACAGCAGGGTGAGACACTGGGACACCTAAGACCTCCCGCTGTCCAGGGACTTAAAGGGGTCCCCAACAAAAATTCCATTCATACTCCATACTCTATTCAGATGGGTGACCCTGGGGCAAAATCTTATCAAATGGAGGTCTATGGTCTAATCGATGTCAGTTTAGGGGTCATGACCTGTCATGTGACAGTTGGGTCTGCTTCTACTGGACAGACAGACAGCATGATGTGAGAATGTGCGTTTGTTCATCCTCTTGGATGACTTATTTATCCATAACCTGATTGGGTTGTGTGTACCAAATCTTATGGTCACTGATCTGAATTCATTCATTGGCTCTCATTTTCCCTTTTCTGTCTCTCACACCTGTGACTCCGCCTCCTCTCCTGTCAAAGGTCAAACTCTGTCCAATCACGTGAGGCCTTACTGGCAGGTAGAGCCCCCCACAGCTGCTGACAGCGAGCGGCTCAGTGAGGGAGGAGGTGTAGTTGGGGAGGTGAATCAACTGAACAACCAATCAGTTGCTGAGAATGAAGCCCTGCCCACCACACCTGACGGCAGCCAGCAGCCAATGAGAAAACGAGGTAAGGATCATGTGACTATCTGCCCAATCACAATGCTCTTCTGAATTTAACTGATGTTCAGTGTTTGTTTTCAGGGATCTTAAAGATGAGGACTCCTCCTTCCCCCACATTGGCAAACAGGAAGTACCTCCTCAGTGAATCCCCGTCCCCTGGCTGCCCTGCCGCCTACTCTCCATCCAATCTCAGCCTGCGTCAGGTTGCCGGGGGAAACAGAGTCCTCGTTAAAGTCATCCCACCATCTACACTGCTGCAGACACGCCCACCCCTGTCACCACGCCAACAGTACAGTGGCGTCACCAAGATGACCAGGACAAGGCTGGCGATTGTGGGCAGGACCGAAGACGAACACGAATCTGAGTGAGTTTCTCTATTTTGGTTGTTTTGGTCGCGTTTCTACCAGAACAGGAGCGTGACGCTAATCCCTGTGAGGAGAAAAGCTCTGATTGTTTCTGGTGCATTGTGGGACGTGTGCTCTAATCAGCTGATGGTGTTGAGTGTGTATCGGCCTCCAGATGGCAGGACAGCAGAATCATCAGCCTCTTCCTCAGAGGTCACTGTCTAAAGCGTGACACTGAAAACCAAAACAAATCTATGATTGACCAAACATAGAAGCATGATGATCAGTCACAGGTGGAGCCAGAAAGCAGGAAGATCTATTCTTTGGATTTTTGGTCACACAACACAAAAATATTTCAGTTTGGTTTTTAGATTTCTTTCTGAATGATTTCAGTCACTTTAACCTGAAGTTTCTGACTTCCTGTTGCCTTTCAGTTGCAGCGATGAAACTTCGGTCTGAAGATGAACCTGAAGCTGCTGAAACAGGAAATAGTGAAGAAGAAGATCATGTCACTTTGTTTGGTAAAAGCTGGAGGTCAAAGGTCAAACTCCATCACTCCAACATGGGAGGTGAGTTCTCACGGACCTCTACAGAGCAGCTCCAGACTCCACCTGGAGGTTTACCTGCTGGAGGTGGAAGGCTGCGTGATCACTTTAAATGACCTTAAATCTACGATCATGTCATTGGCTGAAGCAGAAGGAGCCCTCTGATTGGCTTCGGATAATTTCCTGTTGGGCAGTCTCAGTTCACACACACGACGAGCAGTTTGTTAATGCAGATATCACAGTTGGTGTGTAAATTTAACAACATCCAAATATCTGACATGTATTTAAAGCCAGGTCTGTTCTGTGATGCATCAAACGTTCAGGGAAGTCGATCTGTAAAGTTTGTTGATGCAGATGTGGTTTATTTTTGATATTTGTATGAATCAGACAACTGATGTTTGTTTTTTTAAATATGTGTTTGGATTATAAAATAAAAGTTTTTGATTATATCATTATTTTTAGTCTTCTTGTTCTTATTGCTATTATTCTTTTTTTTACTATTGGTTTATCAATACTATGACTTTAGATTTCTATGTAGATTGTGTTGCATTGTTCTGACCCAACACTACATACAGTGCTTCATCAGATCCACCTGCTCAGCCTCCTTCGTGTGGCGCTCCTGGGCTCCGCTTTGTTGATTACATCATGGCGGCTAAGATGGATTCGGGGCAGACGATAGGTAAGACTAATCTTTCCACACCAAGTGGTTTTGGTGCCTAAACCTGACCAAACTGCAACAGTTGACAATGCAAACTAGTAGTTTTATTTTGAAAGTCTAACCAGACGCTGCATATTTATTGTTGCTACTTTGACCATGGAGCCCTACATGTTATTTGGATACTTTCTAAATCTGTTGTTGGTCTCTCCAACGTTGCTGACCCCAGCTTTAAGCTAAGCTACATAATGTCTGTAAGCTGCGTAGCATATTTGTTAATGCTAACTTGACCTGACGTAGCATATTTATTGTTCATTTGACCGTGGAGCCCTGCACTTCCAGAAAAGACACTAAAAGGTACCCAATGATATGTTGTATGCTGTGTCTTGTTACCTGAAAACACCTGTGGTAGTTTCTGCTGAATACTAAGCTTCCTGTTTCTGTTTCATTTCAGAGTAATATTCTCTACTTGCACAGTGTAGAGTGATGTATATGTGTTTAACCGTGCACGTTTGTTTACTTCATCTCCACAGTAACGTAACAGTGCTTTTCACGTTCACTTCTCACTGTTAGCTCTGTATGTTTTGTATATAGTATTTATTAATTGTTTTTGGATATAGTGTTTTTGAACATTTTGATAATCACCTCTGTATCTTAGATAACCATTTAGCAACGTTAGCTAGTCAGCGAAGTAGCCAGATGTTACCCTGATGTCTTATTCACCTGTACGTGTACAGACACCCACTCAGTATTTTATTGATTCATTTTCAGGCTGTCATCTAAAGCATTACTGTTGATTATGAGTTCAGTGTTAAACAGCTCAGGCAGCACATGTATGTAAGTGAAACAGAACTTTATTGATATGTTCTTAGTGTTTCCATGGTGACTCTAGTAGTAAGAGTCCATGATGCGCCTCATGCTCATGAACCTCATGTTGCCCATGCCCATGCTCATGAAGTTCCTGTACTCTCCAGGCCTCATGTACATCATCCTGCCTCTGTAATGGGGCTGCTCGTACATCAGCCAGTGTCCGTCCATCACGTGACATGACATGCAGTTGGACATGCGGTAACGGTCCATGATGTTGTCGCAGTCGTCCATCATCTCGTACATCTGGCCTCCGAAGTTCTCCTTCTCATAGATCCTCATCCTGTAGGACCCGCGGTGCTGAAACACATCCATAATCAGTAATCAGTAATTGCTCATCATTCATTAGAACACCTGAGCTGGTCTCTGTAGTGTGCTGTGATTGGTTGTGCGGTTACCATGGGGATCATGCGGCAGGACCTGATGCACTCGTTCATTCCCATCATGCTCATGTAGTCGGAGTACTCGCCCCTCCTCAGGAAGTACTGGTTGCCCATGAAGTTGGGGCGGTCGTAGACCATGAAACAGCCTCTCTCCACCCTGCAGGAGTGACACCTGCTCAGGTAGGACGACATGTCAGCAAAGTCGCCGCTGCACTCGTAGGAACGACCCTGGAAGTTCCTGTCCTCGTAGAAGACGACCTGACCACAGGAGAGGAGGAGACATGATGCCTCAGAGTGAGTCAAGAAAACGTGAGAGCTGACTGACTGACTGACTGTGAATCTGCACACGTTTCTCTGATTTTAATACCCAGACAGTAATAAAGTACTGTTTACTGTGGGAACCTCGGGACATACAGACTAAACAAACTGTGCACAAATATTTTCTTCCTGGATCTTGTGTAGTAGCACTTTCATGGTAACTGGTGGTATTTCTGAGAAGCCCAACTTATTTTGAAAATAACAAAATGAGACGTGGTGTGTGAAGTAATAACTAAAGTTATTTTATATATATTTGTATTCTGACATTTAAATCAACTTAAAGACTTAGGGATTTATTAATGATGAACAACTTTTTTTTAAAGTGAGGGAAATATGAGGGAAAACAGATATTTAAAAATAAATCTCTGTAAAGAAGTTAAAGTTAGAGGTTTCCTGATTTAATAGAAGCCATCGTTTTGTGTGTGTTCTTCTCACCCTGCCCATCATGTTCATGCTGCTGGTTGTCATGTTGCTCTGGTTGCTCAGCTGGTTGCTGCTGTGGTGGTTGGTGGGAGCTGTGTGTTACCTGTGCGGCAGCTGCTGCTCTTTATAGCACCTGAGCAGCTGAAGCCTTTTGTTCAAACAGCCTGAGCCAGCAGCGCGGCATAAAAGAGACGCTCAGTATTCGGCATTTCTCTTAGAGAGAAGAGACAAAGAGCTACAGATAGCAGCTGTGTTCTCCTTCAGGCCTCTGTTCACTCTGTCCACAGCGCTTCTGGAACAAAAACCTGAAGACAAACAAAATGACTGAGTCACATTTTAAACATTTCACTGAAAACATCACAACTCATGAAACACATGATGTCACTTTGTCCCAACACAAAGCTTCCGTTTCTGAAACAAGCAGAATATTATATGAATCTATATTTAGCCAAAACACATACGACTTTTATTTGAAACAGGTGTTATAAATTCTGAAAGTATCATATTCATTCATATACAGCGTTTTGGACTCGTATGAAAGCATATTTCATATGATTATAAAATTATTCTGTGATACAGAAGGAAAGAAAAGGCTAGAACACATTGTTTTAAGTTTAAAAAACGTTGAAAGAACATTTTATGAACACAAAACTAGACTTACTAATTAATAATTATAAACTTTAATTTAACAGAAACAGAGGAAACGAGAAAATTAAAAGTGGAAAAATGTAAGAAATGAATCCAAAGCTTTAACACATAAATAAATTTTACAAAAATGTTTATGAACTGAACTTGTTACCATAAACATGATTTTCATGAGTAGTTTTCTGATGATCTGGATCACAATAAAGCAGTAACATTATAATATGAAATAATATATATCTAACCTTTTCTATCTCTCTCCGATAGAAAGCAATCGCCAGTCAGTAGAGTGACTTTTTTATTTTTTATTTTACCTTTATTTTACAAGGAAATCCCTTTGAGATCAAAAATCTCTTTTACAAGAAAAACCTGGCCAAGGTAGCAGCTATACACAAACACAACATACACTGCTTTATATAAAAATATACCAGTTCTGTTGTCTGTGGGTGGTCAGTGATGTCCAACCCACCAGATCATAAAGAATGCAATGGTGAATAAGGGACTTTGCATTTGTAATAAACTATAGAGATGCATGATACACTGAATCAAGGCTCCATAAGATGGAGGAGGCTGCGTGAATATATGTCACCATAAACAATCGCAGACAGAAAAGTTGCTTCCGCAATTTTTTTTTGGCATTGAAAGTAAAGCTAGATTTATTTCTAAAATAAAAGCCAACCTTTACTTTGAGCTTCCTAACTAGATTAGCAATATGTATATAAAGAATAAAAGTTTGTCTTCTATTCATACCAAAGTGCTTGTACGAGGGCACAATCTCAATGGATTTACCACCAGACGTGAAAATGCTAAGATCATCAAGAAACTATAAGTGAGCTTTTGAGAAAATTATGAACTTCATTTTCTGAGGATTTAAAACCAATTTTAAATTGAGCAGACCAGTTTGTAATGACTGAAATGCAGTCTGAAGCTCTTGCACCGCCTGTGCTATGGAGGAAGCTTGCTTATAAATGACAGTGTCATCATAGAAGTGTATTTTTGCTTGATTGTCCTTACCTAAGTCATTTTTAAAAATAAAGAATAGAGCAGGTCCCAAAATGGAACCCTGGAAGACCCGTTTAGTTATCTCAAGAAACTGATTTGTGGCTCTCTGTATGGACACACTGAGTCTGATCTATAAAATAATTTCTAAACCATTTAACAGTTTTAGAAACCAGGATCCCAAAGTTTGCTCAGCAACAATTCATGGTCAGAGGAGTTTGAAAATCTAGCTTGGACCCACAGTTTATTTCTTAAATGAATTAGCTCTTCTGAGGCTTAAAAACAAGTATCTTCTCCCCCTCATCGACCCCGTTCTCTCCCACCAGTTAGGTCTTGAGAAGTCAAGTTCAGAGCCAGAGACCATTCTCCCTCCTTCATGCCTTGTGGCTGTAGCTTTTTGGGACATTGAGACCGTGGTTCAGGAAGCCCAGTGCACCCATTCAGATCTAGTTACGAGTCCTCTTAACTGCTTGTTTGTACCTGATCAAGTTAGGTCCCAGGTGTTCTGGTGGGGTCTCATCTCTAAGCCTGCATGCTATCCAGGACTCCACCGCACCTTATTCTTCATTTGACAACATTTCTGGTGGCCGTCCACGTCCCAAGACTGCTGCTCTTTTGTATCTGCCTTCTCCATCTGCGACTGCAGCAAAGCATCCCATCAACCTTCAGTGGATCTTCAGCAGACCCTGGTCTCACATAATGGTGTTGTTACCAGTCTGCCTCCATCAGAAAGTAATACAGTTATCCCGACTATAGTTTCTGATTTTCCAAAGATGTACACTTGTTCGTCTCTCTAAATTGCCCTCTGCAGATCTGCTGGTCATCTGACGCCATGCTGTGTCTCAGCTCATGAACAGCTAAATCAGGCTGCAACAAGCAACTTATGTCAAGTTTGTCCAGTTAGGAGAGTTACTGAAACACTCGTAGCAACCACAACCCCACAAAGGAGAAAGATATTTAGGAAAAATATAAACATTTTGTTACTATAGGCTGTTCTCTGGTCCAGGACTAAAGCCTAGATCAGCCTCCAGGGAGTCAGTCCAAGACTGATCCCTCTGTTCATCTTCAGCAGGTTTCTGCCTACACCTGATTCAAGAATGTTAAGGTGTGTTCACACAGGAAGCAAAGTGAATCTTTGCCATGCGTTACTATAGCTAACTATATGAACCCAAAATAAAATATTTTGCTGTGATTTAATTGCAATAAATTACTCAAAAGGGTACTGTTTTCTGAACAGAGAGTGACAGGGCTATGCTATGCTCACTTCTTTCATAGTAAAGTAGCTGGAATCAAGTAACAAACACACATTTTCAGAATTTACCAGGTGATTCAACTTCCACGCTTGGCAGGTGACACATAATGGTAATTTCTGTATTTCCACAATCGGGGGGGCTTTTTGAGTGTTGTGTTGGGAGGACTTGGCGGAGAAGAGGGACAGAGCTGCTAGACATGATCACTGTGTCTAAATTAACAGGCCATGTCCCACAGTCCAACACTCTTTTCAGTCTAAATTTTCAGGAGGCAGCTGACTTTGTGCTGAGTCCAGGTGTGTCCCCTGCTAGCCAACGGTTTGGTAACAAATGCTGTGCTAGTTCACCAGTCATCAAAAAAAAGTGACACATACAATGCTATGATTCCTGTGATCGGTTCAAATGGTGTTTCCACCAGAAATGGACTGCTCCAGAGTTCACTTGACAGTGGTCAGAGACCAGAAGACCCCTTCAAGGTAGACCAGAGAGCGGTTGTTTTATTGGCACCAGAGTTCACAGCAACAAAATGAACTGCGCCAAGAGGGTAAACACAGCAGGGTTAATTTCAACCGGACCAGTGGTCAACCCGCACTAAGGGTGCACTAAAGGTTTGTGTGAGTAAAAACGTGTGCAAATGTGATATCACCAGCAAATTAACACATAAGCTGATCTACTAATGGTATGCATGCAGAATGACGTCTTTCAATAGTGCAAGATAGCACCAGTTGTTCATTTACTACTTTTGCCTTAATGAATATGCAGTTTGGGGCGTTTCAATTTTATTGTGCAAAGTAGTGGGAGGGTAACATGCAAATACATTTATTTACTACGCGCAACGTGATCTAACAAGCCTAAACGCAATTTCATGTGAATGTAACAGCATCTGTATTTAATACATTTGAAAGGATGGTGCAAACTGCCAAGTGTTGCAGAGATGGCTGCTGTTATGTTTGCGAGAAGGAGACACAGCCGTAATGAAAGAATATAATATTATTCTATATGCAATACATAGAAATAAAATTATTTTACTTTATTTATTAAACTGCATGAATTGAATTGTTCTTTTGTATTTTCCTTGAAGCTTTGGCAATACTGTTGTATTAACATTCATGCCAATAAAGCAAATTTGAATCGAATTGAATTGAGAAAGAGGTTTTTCCATTTGTTTTGGCATGACTAAGGAACATAAGCACATTTTGCCTCTCCAGCCATAGTGGAGCTGTTGGCTGACCTAAGGGCTGATTTGGAGCCAGTTACAAGAAGGAGTCGCGCAATACCTGCCTGCCCAAACTTCTTTGCAACTCTGCTTTTCCACGTGTCTGGGTCATTCCAGCATACTGTATCTATTTCTGCTGGGGTTTCCCAAAGCAGTTTTTCAGCTGTGCTGTCCCAATCAGAATCAGCTTTATTGCCTGGTATGTGTACACATACGAGGAATTTGACTCTGGATTGTACAATGCTCGTGATGTGCTTACTTATACAATAATACAGTAATAAAATCAAACGCAGGCTACAGTATACAGAATGCATATATACACACTATAAACAAAACAAACAGATTGAAACAATAGTGCAAAGAGCAGAGTGCAAAGGATGCTGGAGTATGTACATGTCGGAGGTGGATGTCATATAATTGGTACATACACATACAACCAAACATGTACACGGTGTGATGAGTGCAAAAAATGCTGGAATAAATAAGTATTATGTGCAGGAGTTATCTCATGAGGTAGGTGGATTTGGTATACAGTATATACAATATGACAATATAACCGCTCTGAAATAGAGAATGGTGAATAAATACTAAGAGGTAACCAGTAAACAGGTGGCTGATTAGAGTTACTGAGTTATTGCTTAGGAATTGTTCCTGACATTGTGTGTCAGAGTCAGCTGTTCATCAGAGTGATGGCTTGTGGGAAGAAACTGTTCCTGAGTCTGTCTGTTTTGGCGTACAGTGCTCTGTAGCACCTACCAGAGGGAAAAAGTTGGAACCGGTTGTGTCCGGGGTGAGATGGATCTGCAGTGATGTCTCCTGCCCGTTTCCTGACTCTGGAAATGTATAAGTCCTGAATGGAGGACAGGTTTGCACCGATGATCTCGTCCTGACTGTCCATTGTAGTCTGCTCCTGTCCTTTTTGGTGGCAGATCCAAATCAGTAAAATGCTCCATATTTGTTTCTAGTCTTTTCGACCACTCATCACCACTACATTGCATTCACAATTCACACACTGAGATCACACACAATATATATATAGTTATTTTACCAGACCTTACTTTACCTCTTGCCCTAAGTGGCTCAAACAGAAACTAACATTCACTTTACTGGAAGAATAACCACAAGGGCCAATTCCGGCCCAAGCTTGCTCAACCACTCAAAGCGCTTTTACACTACATTGCATTCACCATCGCAAACATCCGTTCTACCTCCTGAGCCACAGCTGCCCGCAGAGGACAGACTGGATGATGGCTTGGATGTGTAGAAGTGGATCAGCAACTCCTTAGGCAGGTTGAGCTTCCTGAGCTGGAGCAGGAAGTACATCCTCTGCTGGACCTTCTTGATGATGGTGTCAGTGTTGGGTTCCCACTTCAGGTCCTGGGATATAGTGGATCCCAGAAACCTGAAGGTTTCCACAGCAGACACAGGGCTGTTGAGTATGGTGATGGGGGGGGGCAGAGTGGGGTCTCCTGAGGTGCAGTTGTTGGTGTAGAGGGAGAATAGCAGGGGGAGAGCACACACCTGGATGATAATGTGCTTATTGTCATGGTGCTGGATGTAATGTTCCCCAGCCTGGGTGAGTTTGGTGCTGAGGATGTCCGGGATGATGGTGTTGAACGCCGAGCTGAAGTCCACGAACAGGATCCTTGCATATGTCCCCTGGAGAGTCGAGGTGTTGCAGGATGTAATGCAGTCCCAAGTTGACTGCATCATCCACTGACCTGTTAGCCCTGTAGGCAAACTGTCCGGCCTGTAAAGTCCTTCAGGTGGGCCAACACCAGTCTTTCAAAGGACTTCATGACTACAGATGTCAGGGCGACAGGCCTGTAGTCATTAAGACTCTTCAGCTGATCCAGAAAAGAGATCATATTTCTCCTGTTTTAGCGTCTCTGCATTGGCTTCCTGTAAAATCCAGAATAGAATATAAAATCCTTCTGCTCAACTACAAAGCTAATGGTCAGGCACCATCTTCATGAAGGGCTCATAGTACCTTACCAGCCAGAGACAGTGCAGAGGACAGGTTACAGTGCAATAAACAGTCTGGGTTCAGGAGGTAGACACCATCTCCAAGAGTAGGCTTAAGACTTTCCTCTTTGATAAAACTTAGAGTTAGGGGATTTGGAGATGTTGCTTTTTAAGAGGCGTTTTGAATTTCAACACTGGGCACTGTAAGCCTTAGAAGGTTAAATGAAGAATTAGATATTTCTGTGGAGTCTGCTGGATAATATTTGGTCTCCTTTAACAGGCTTTCATTGAGAACAATCTTGGATAGAGGTGTTCAGTTCAAATGTAGATGGACGTTTACATTAATTTATATGTCATTTATAAATGTTAACGGGGCAGTGAACAGAGGATGGTGCAGTGAGGAGAGGACAGTGCAGTGAACAGAGGACTGTGCAATGAAGAGAGGACGGTGCAGTGAACAGAGGACGGTGCAGTGAAGAGGATGGTGCAGTGAGGAGAGGACAGTGCAGTGAACAGAGGACGGTGCAGTGAACAGAGGACTGTGCAGTGAAGAGAGGACGGTGCAGTGAAGAGGATGGTGCAGTGAGCAGAGGACAGTGCAGTGAAGAGGACGGTGCAGTGAACAGAGGACTGTGCAGTGAAGAGATTACAGTGCAGTGAACAGATTACGGTGCAGTGAAGAGGATGGTGCAGTGAAGAGGGGACAGTGCAGTGAAGAGGATGGTGCAGTGAAGAGGATGGTGCAGTGAACAGATTACAGTGCAGTGAACAGATTACAGTGCAGTGAACAGAAGACTGTGCTAAGAAGGAGATCCGTCTGAGCGCTGAATGGCTGTGGTCCTTCATGATGCCATGTGCCTTCTTTGGGCACCTCTGGTAGAGGAAACCCTCTGGCCAGGAGACTGTTGCTAGTGATATGCCACCTCCACCGCTCTCTGTAGTGATTTGTGGGTGTGGGCAGAGCAGTTCCCGTACAAAGCTGTGGTGCAACGCGTCAGCAAGCTCTCGATGGTACACCTGTAGAAGTTCTCCACTGGAAATAGAGCCGCTGATGTTCTTTCTTGACAATGGTGTCTGTGTGAAGTGTCCAGGACAGGTCCTCAGTGATGTGCACACTGAGAAAATTGAAAGTGCTGACCTTTTTTTAACCTCACCAGCACCAGTGTAGATGGGGAGGTGTCCACCTACCTGCTTTCTCCTGTAGTCTACTATCATCTGTTTTGTTTTACTGACATTGGGAGTGAGGTCCTGGCAGTAGCTGGTTTATGACATCACCTCTTCTCTGTAGACCGTCTCCTCATAGTTTGTAATGCACACAGCCTGGTGGTGCACCAGTGTTGAGAATCAGCAGACTGGTGTCAGAGCAACCATGTGGTAGTCATTTAAGCAGGAGACCACTGGTTTCTTGGGAACCGGAACTATGGTGGATGCTTTGAACAGGGTGGGGACCACAGTTACAGGATGAAGATGTTGGTGAACACCTCTGCAGGTTGATCAGCGCATGCCCTGAGATGCCATCCGGCCCTGGTGCCTTGCACAGGTTGACCCTTTAAAAAGACCGTCTCATTTCATCCGTTTGTAAAGTCAACAGGACAGCCCCCTGCCCACACGTGGTGGGGTAGTGGGTGCTGTGTTGTCCACATCGAACCAAGCGTTAAAGGTGTTAAGCTCTTCCGTGAGCGTTGCTGAACAATGTCCTTGTTTTTCCCTTTGTACTCCCTTTGTGATGCAGCATAACCCATTCCACTTGCATCTGGGGTCAGAGCTGAGGTAGCTGGACTCCTCTCTGTCCCTATAGTCCCTCTTGGCATTCCTGGACTTCCGGAGGTCATATTTGGCTTTGTAGGCATCAGGGTCCCCCGAGTTAAAAGGGGCGGTAGGTGCTCTTAGTTTTAATGCGGATCACATGGCTGACCCAGGGTTTCTGGCTGGGGTACGTGCAGACGGTAGCTTTTGGAACAACGTTGTTGATACACTTATATAGGCTATAATGGAGTCTGTGTGGTCAGTGATGTTACCATCGGCTGCAACCTCAGACATCTGCTAGCCCAATATCTCAAAGCAGTCCGGTATGACCTCATCAGCCTCTTTGTTCTGTTTGTAAAAGTTGACTGTAATGTGAAAGTGTATTTATGGTTGGAGGTATTTTCTGAAGAAGATGACTGTACAGCTTAGTATTCGTGGTATCTATGGTGATATATGTGTTGATGTATTGTACATAAGGAAAGCAGGGGGGTGTACTGGAGAGTCGTGCCATGTGGTTAGGGTTGTGATGGATTGTCTGCACCCCCTGTGCTCGTTCTCAAAAATAAAAGGATTTTATTGTGAAACATCTTTTAAGGAAGTGTTGAGTTAACGATAGCTTAACAATGATGTGAAAAAGTGGAGTTAATCAGAAAATAAACCGTATTATTGATGAGTGGTGATCCTGTTGTATTGATAAATCAATGATGACTCATGCTGAATTCACCATGTGATCATTACTGACCACCTTTAAATGAGTGATGAACAGTTTATCTTTGCGTTGTGGTTAATGAAACAGACGGTAAACTTTATTTAAAGAAACTTTATTGATATGTTCTCAGTGTTTCCATGGTGACTCTAGTAGTAAGAGTCCATGATGCGCCTCATGCTCATGAACCTCATGTTGCCCATGCCCACGCTCATGAAGTTCCTGTACTCTCCAGGCCTCATGTACATCATCCTGCCTCTGTAATGGGGCTGCTCGTACATCAGCCAGTGTCCGTCCATCACGTGACACGACATGCAGTTGGACATGCGGTAACGGTCCATGATGTTGTCGCAGTCGTCCATCATCTCGTACATCTGGCCTCCGAAGTTCTCCTTCTCGTAGATCCTCATCCTGTAGGACCCGCGGTGCTGAAACACATCCATAATCAGTAATCAGTAATTGCTCATCATTCATTAGAACACCTGAGCTGGTCTCTGTAGTGTGCTGTGATTGGTTGTGCGGTTACCATGGGGATCATGCGGCAGGACCTGATGCACTCGTTCATTCCCATCATGCTCATGTAGTCGGAGTACTCGCCCCTCCTCAGGAAGTACTGGTTGCCCATGAAGTTGGGGCGGTCGTAGACCATGAAACAGCCTCTCTCCACCCTGCAAGAGTGACACCTGCTCAGGTAGGATGACATGTCAGCAAAGTCGCCGCTGCACTCGTAGGAACGACCCTGGAAGTTCCTGTCCTCGTAGAAGACGACCTGACCGTGGGACAGAAGACAGATTTAAAGTTAGTGATGAGCTCTGACAGACTGACTGATGAGTCTGAGGATCCTTCTCCAGGTGGTCCAGATCCTGTCGAGCTGGTCCGGTCTCTAAAGCTAATTTCCCCGTTCATGACAGCTGTGCAGGGGGTTAATGTGTACATATCGCACCAAATTATGCATAAATAAGGACGTGGCCCCTTTGAGTGACAGGTGGGTGCCCTCTCAGATGGCTAGCCGCTAGGTGGTAAATCCAGTTCATGTGTGTGTTCATCTCATGTGAAGCCATCTGGGGAAATAATTTACCTTAAAATTACATAATTATTGTTGCTGTGAAAACATGGATCTCCGTATCACTTCGTAAAAATCTGTTAGTGATCCTCGGATGTTAGAAAGTCATGTGACCTTTTACCTGGAAAATGTCACTAAACTCAGAGATACGTGTTTTCCATCTGTCCCATTCTAAGTCTGTGTAATGGGGAGAAGTGATGCATGGTGGGACTTACCCTGCTCATCGTGTTCTTGTCGGTGGCGGACATGTTGGCGTGTTGTTGACGTGCTGCTCTGTGCTGAGGGAGGTGGGCTGCCTTCATACCTGTGTGAGCTCTCAGCTTTTATACACCTGAGCGGCACTCGCTGCTTTGTGTTTCAGAGTGCCGAGTCAGCACACACACAAAGCCTCTTTGAAAGGGTTAACAAAGACTCGGAGGCCTTCAGCTGCTGTTTTTATCAGCACCAGCACTTTGTTAACCTGTTCAACTCTGAACAGCAGAACAACACACCTGGCACACCTTCCAACCTTCACATTACTCTGAAATGAACCTTTAAGCTTCTTTAAACTGACGGCGTCACAGAAACACCAGTTTTCATTAAACATACAAACAGTTGTGTTTCTCAGAGACGAGGTCAGATCAACATGTTGAATCAGCTGCTACTAACAGTCCATGGTGATCACCTGTAGTTTCTGAACATGTATGACAGGAGTTGTGTGAAGTGTGAGGAGTTCTTTCAGACGTCATGTCAGAGACGAGGTCAGCCTCACAGTTTGGGTCAACATGAAACTCTCCTCATCAACAAAAGGTGAACAGTTTTGTGAAAAAGTCAAAGCTACAAGAAGCCTGAGGACGTAAAATCTGACGGAGAGACATCAACTATGACTCCCAGGGTGCAATTCACTACCAAACAGCCAATCACAGAGCTTCACCTTCTGTTATGCAGCTAAAGACGACGCTGTTGAAGAAACTGAAAACCATCCGCGGCTTAAATCAGTTCACGTTTCATTTCAGGCGCTACAGCGGGAGGTGTTTCACTGTACGACAAAGCTTTATGGATTCACGCTCTGATTCCCTCTGACTGAATTCTTCTCCAGAGCAACAACAGAGGCTCATGGGTAATGTAGTATTTAAAGCAGAGGAAATCCATGCGTAAACCTGATGATGGTTCATCACCCAGCAGAGTGTCTGTGTTCAGATTATGAAGATTAAACACTTCACAACTCAGCAGTCAACATAAAATATATTTATGAAAAATAAAAGCCCTGCTAAATCCTGTAAAGAAACAGTGATCATGTGATTACATTTCTTTATTTATTAGGAGACAAACGTTAATGAAATTTCTGTAAATGCGATCATTGTTAACCAGCAGGTTCACTTTCATCATGAAGTAAAAAATCAGGCAGACAGAATTATCATTCTGCAGTCAACAGGAAGATGCAGTAAGAAAAGAGTCACTGAGTCATGCAATAAACAATAAGACATAAATAAAACAAGACAGTCTCCATCAAAGGGTCAAAGATGAGTCACGTAATATTCCTCAGAAGAGTTTGTCAGACTTTTACAGAAGAAGAATTTTGACCTGAGATGACCTACTGACCACCAACATGAGAGTATGAAGCACACACGCATTTATTATCATCATTATTAATATAATTATTATTTTTACTCTCTGCAGCGTTGTTACAGGATGTTACTCTCCACATGGTATCAGCGTTTCAGAGCTGAAGAATGGGAGCCAGATGAAACCACATCAAACTGAGCGTCCTCACCTCTCAGCCGGATCCAGACAAACCTGCCCCTCCAAGGTCCCGTTTCCTGTTTCCCACCTGGAAGCTGTGACGTAGCTGCTCTTAGCAGAAACAGCTCCACCTGCTGGAGATACCTGAACACAGGTCAGACAGAACCCTGTGCTGGATGATATGGATTCAGTTATGTCTAATAGAATGACATTATTATTGTTGTTTGTTCTAATTTGTCTTTTCCGCTGTTCTCAGAAGACCATCAGTGGTTCTCTGGTTCTGTGCCAGTAACAGGAAGTGCTCACTGACAGAACATGCAGGAAAGTGAAACCAGCAAAGATCAGGACCAGATCTGGTTACAGTGAGCAGGTGAAGACTCACTCCCACCAGTCAGGAGCATGATGATGGGTTTCTTCTGATGGACCTGCCGGACGGTCTTCACTTCCTGCGTGAGTGTTTACCTCTAAAGGGCAATTTATCCATCTGCGTCAAATCGACGGCATAGGCTACGGGGCTACGCAGAGGCTACGCCGTCGCCTGACGCACCACGACACGGACCGTAAGCTCTGTGATTGGTCGGCTGGGTAGCCTCGCAATGGGCCTTAAGTCGACTTGTTTGTGAGGAAACAGCTGCTGAAACCTGGAACAGGCTGAGAGCTAAAGGTTTGAAACCTGGTTTTAAAGAATAAAAGTCTTCAGTGGGTGGTGGTCTTCAGTAAAAGTCCTCAGACAGAGTTTTGTTTATCTTCAGTTTGTCAGAAAGGTCGGGCAGTCTCTGCAGCGTGGGAAGTGAGGAAGTTATGAGCTGTGCTGACGGTCCTTCAGAGTCCAGACTGAGATGGCACAGCGAGGGGAGAGACATGTTAAACCTGCTCTGGACACATGGTGAGACGTAGGTCAAGGTAAGCTTAGTGTCTTGCTTTGAAGCAACATCCAGTAGGATCTTCACACAGAGGGACTCTCTGGAGGAACATCCCCAGACTGGAAGTTCCCTTCACATTTCGGTGCTACACTGGACCTTACTCATTTCCCTAATTTATGCCTCATCACCTCCTCAGTCCTCCGTCCTCCGTCCTCCTTCCTGTGACCTGGAAATCGATCTGCCATCATGAAGGACATCCCAGATCCTAAAATGCACCTCAAGGATTGAGGATCGAGGAGGTTGTTGTACATGTTGTCTGTTTATGAAGCTGGGTCAGCAAGCACGCTCTCCTTCCAGATAAACAAGTCTTTTCTTTCTGCAGCAGCTGGAAAGTCCTCAGTCCTCCTCCTACCCAGACCACCGGCTGGCGGACTCCTCCTCAGCTCCTCATGCCGCCTCATCTCAGCACCATGCGCACCTGATGTTCCCCGCAGTCACTTCAGGGTTCTGGGAAATGTAGTTCCTGCTCCGGACTTGGGATCACCAGGTATTCACCTCAGTGTGGATTATTATCGAAGGGTGATTATTTCTACTGGGCTTTAAATCAGCAAGAGAATATTTTACTGGCAGCCCGGGTTCACTTAAATATAACTTCTTTTCATTTCTCCGTATGAAGAAAGACATTAAGAAAAGCAAGGCAGGTGGGCCAGGTGACCCGGAAGTTAAAGTCAGTATATCATAATAATGGCCGTTCTGTAACATTATACAGCACTAACGTCATACCAGGGTCCCGTTAGAAGAACAAATAAAGAACTAAAAAGCGGAGTGATGGAAGTGTTAGCCACAGCAGCCTCGCTGCATTTATCTGTGTGCAGTCCAGTTTAATGGGCGCATTGCTCGGTTAACCTCAGTAGCTGGTGTGTGCAGAGCTGTTACTGTCAGCACTGATATCTAACGTGGTTTTCACCTTAACGTGTTGCTGCTTGAGTGAAGGCAGAATGAAAGTAGGTAAAGCTGATGTCTCCCTACTCTACCAGCAGGTGGTAGTGAGAGTGGCTTTAAATGTTTGCCTGCTTTGTGTCTTTGTTAGCTGTTAGCTTATCTCCCAACATTTATCCAGATTATTGATCCAGTTGGATTTAATGCCGTCATTTCATTCATTCATTCATTCATTCATTTTGCGCAGACGTCTATATGGAAATGATTTTATCATGACTTCTCTGGTGACGTCACATATTCAGCAAGACCTATTTAATATAGTATGATATGTCATATAATGTTCATACATTAATGTTTTTATTTGGCATACTGTAAGTAGTCAAATAGAGGTAGGGCCTTTATTCACAACAACTGGCCTTTAATTGGATCAGGCATACATCAGAGACAGGCCTTTGGTTCTAACTCCCTCTGTCTGATAACAATGCTTCCTCATATTTTAGTATGAAGCCACCTTGTTTTGTAACACCATGGGGTGGTGATGGACAGGACACATGCCTTTGGTGTGTGTCCCTGAGCAAGACACTTAACCCCTAGTTCCCCCAGGGGCTCCCGTTTGGCCTATAAAACATGTGTAACTGCTGTTAATAGAAACTCAACACTTCCTGCATCTGTTTGAAATTAAAAGCCCTCTATGTCTCAGTGGACAGAACCCCTTCATGTAATAACAAGGCTTTTAGTGTGAAACATTTGCAGGAACTTCAGTCTCTTACACTCTTTTAATAAAGTGCCTCAAATGTAGCTGCTGCCCTCTTGTGGCACGTGTATGTTACTACACAATACCATTTGCCTGATCAACATACTCACAGTCTCAGGAAAAAGTATGTGGAATTACCTGGATTTCAGCATAAATTGGTCATAAATTGTGATCTAATCTTCATTTAGTCAAAACAACAGACCTGAACAACAGTCAGGAGGAAGTTTGGACCCTTCCTCTTTACAAATCTGTTTCAGTTCAACTAAATTCTTGGGATGTCTGTGTGTGAATTGCTCTCTTGAGGTCATGCCACAACATCTCAGTCAGGCTGAGGCCAGGACTCAGACTGGCCCACTCCAGAAGGTGTATTTTTTCTGCTCTGTTGTTGATGTACTTCTGTGCTTTGGGTCGTTGTCCTGTTGCATCACCCATCTTCTGCTGAGCTTTAGTCAGCGGACAGATGGCCTTATATTATCCTTCAAACTTTCTTTATAAACTTTGGAATTCATGTTTCTGTCAATGATAGCAACCGTTCCAGGCCCTGAGGCAGCGAAGCAGTCCCAAACCATGATGCCCCCTCCACCATACCTCACAGTTAGGATGAGGTTTTGTTGGTGCACTGTGCCCTTTTTCTTCCACATAGGGTGGTGGGTTCCTTCCAAACAACTCAACTTTGGTTTCATCTGTCCACAGAAGAGTTTGCAGTAGTGCTGTGGAACATCCAGGTGCTCTTTTGTAAACTTCAGACGTACAGCAGTGTGTTTTTGGACAACAGTGGCTTCCTCTATGGTGTCCTCCCACGAACTTCACTCTTGTTCAGTGTTTTGTGTATCATAGAGTCATCAACAGAGATGTTAGCATGTTACAGAGATTTCTGTGTCACTCTGGGATCCTTCTTAACCTCGCTGAACATTCTGCGCTGTGCTCATGCTGTCATCTCTGCAAGATGGCCACTCCTAGGGAGAGTAGCATCAGTGCTGAATTTTATAGACAGTTAGTCTTACCGTGCACTTGTGATTTTTTGGAAGGTGGTGAAAGACTGAGTTTGAAGTCCTCGGTCACTATCGTCTTTTCTAAATGACAGCAGCTCTAATCTGACAGCATAAATATTTCTACTCTAGAGAATAATGCAGCTGAGTGAAGTCTGACAAACTGGACCCCGCTGTTCCTTAAAAAGCAGCCGCGCTCTGAAATCTACAGCCGAACCCAATGTTTCTGTTTCATTCATTAATAAAGCTTCAGCTGAAACACTGCTGTGAGAGCATGTATGTAAGATTAGCAGCAACAATGGGAGTATACATGACTCTTTGTTTTTGAATTATTATTTGAATATTATGAATATGGACATTCACAAGCACTCGTTCAAAGGGGCACCAGCCAAGTTTTAAAGATCTTGACAAACGTGGAAATAGTTGAGGTGCAATTGATTCAGTAATTGTCAGTCTCTGAGTTGTTCTCCAACCAGGAATATTGAACTCAAATGTATTTGCTAAACTAAACCAGAAAGAGACAGACCTGCTGGAATCAAACCCGGGCCCCTGCATTAAGTAAGCTCTACCAGGCGAGATGATGAACATGAGTTCCATCAGCTCGTGGTCAGGTCATGGTATACTTGGTTCTCCGTGACAGGATGGGAGATGTTCTCTTTCAGCCGACGTCAGCATGTAGTTCTTTGCCCTGAGTGCTTTGACAGTGTTCTGTGCTCAACATTCATCGTTCTGGAGGTACGTTCTCCACATTTTACAATATATTTTCATCTCAGCCCAGCAGGGTTGCAGCGCTGTGGCTGTCGACAGATGTCACCCTGTTTGTTATAATAACTATATTATTAAACTACTAGTAATGCACTGAATCAGTTTTGACATTAGTTTGTGGTCAGTGTTATGCTGCCGGCTCTCTGGCTCGTCTCCTGGTTAAAGTTCTAAAGAAGCGGCGCAGAAACTCCATCGTCTCAGTGCGTCACAACAACAGCTCAAAACACCAAAGCAAAGGAGAACCTCCCCAGCTCCGGCTTTCCTGTTCTAAAGGAGACGAAGCTTCAAGCTAGAGTCAACAACAAGGTTTCTGTGGGAAAGAAGTCCCGCTCACCTGTGCAGGTAATATTATCCTGACACAGTCTGTTAATCTAAACTGTGTGGCAGCAAACATCATCAAACCAAACTACAGACAGATGCCTTCACTGGTGTTCAGAGAGCCTGGGATTTTTACATGAAGCTTTTATTAAAAATCATGTTGGTTCAAAGTTTTGGCCACGTAGAAATAAAAAAAACAGGAAATACACAGCGAGGAAGTAAAGAAAGTTGCAGTCACATGGTTTAAACATTCACTGTTTCAAATTTCAATGATGGATTTTATGACATTCACAAACACATTCAAAACATGACGATGCATTCAAGAACGCTCAGACGTCCCTCTCTAAAAGTTCAAACATTCAGTCTTTGTCATAGTGGTTTCATAGTAAAAAATAAAATCTTTGGTTTCATTCAAACACGAGAATCTAATTTTGGTTGTTTTGTTTTCTTCTGACTTTCACAGAGGAAACTGTTCTATGGAGATCACTTCTGATTGGCTGCTGAGAAATCATCCGAATACGACCTTCGACCCTAGAACAGACAGGCGCTGTAGACGTGACCTTTGACCCTAGACAGGCGCTGTAGACGTGACCTTTGACCCTAGAACAGACAGGCGCTGTAGACGTGACCTTTGACCCTAGAACAGACAGGTGCTGTAGACGGTGACCTTGTGGCTGATCTCCTGCAGCAGGTCCTTCACGGCGGCCTCCAGCTCCACCAGCTGCTCCGCCTTCAAGTCCAGAGTCCGCTGGTTGTCTTCGTAAGACTTCTCCAGATCTGAAACACACATGGTAATCGCTGTCAGCCTGCACAAGATCAGAGATGGAAACTCCACAGTTTACAGAGTTACGGTGTCTGAAACGTTTTCTCGAGGAACGCCGGGTGGACCAGGGTGGAACTGTTAAAGAGGTCATATTCTATATTTGGCTGTTCCCCTCTCCTTTATTGTGCTATACATCTTTTTGTGCATCTAACAGTTCTGCAAATTGAAAAAGCCCAAAGAGTTCCCGTCTCCCACAGAACACTCTGCTCCTGAACTCAAACGTTCAGACGTCCATGTGGCACTCTGTTAATGTGGAGGTTCCTGTTTTACATCTGGATGCAGAGGGGACAGACGGTTGGAGACGGGTGTTGCGTCAGTGTGAGGTCACCTTTGAGCAGCTGCAGTTTGTCGCTGGCTTTCAGCAGCAGCTCTTTGGCTTCCTGCTGCAGTAGCCCCGCCCTCTTTTTTGCATCAGCCAAGCCCTCTGCCTTCTGACCAATGAGCCGCTCCACTGTGGCGTATTTATCCTTCAGCTCCAAGTCCAGGTCCTAAACACACACACAAAACCATAAACACAAAGATCTGGGGACTGGACGCTCCTGCAGGAACACGGATTCACTGACCGAGCTGATTAACTGTTAACAGTATGACAGGTGCGCTCACCTTCTTCACCTCCTCTGCGAGCTTTCCGATGTTCGCCGCGTCCTGATTGGTCAATTCAGTGCTCAGAGTGACATTCAGAGCTTTGTCTCTCAGCAGTGTAACGTTCTGCTCGAGCCGCTGAAGCCTCCAGGTGGCGTTGTTCAGCTTCAGCTCTGCATCTGCTGTCTCCGACTCCACCTGAAGACAACACGGACAGACGAAGTTGTTACCTTCACTTTTCTGAGGTCAACGTTTGACGTGAGGTCAGTAAAGGTAATCGTTTGACGTGAGTTCAGGGAAGTAAATGATTAGTAAACGTTTGACGTGAGGTCAGTGAAGTTAACGTTTAGTAAATGTTTGACGTGAGGTCAGTGAAGTAGACATCTTAAACCCCGGGTCGGTACTGACAGAAGACAGCAGCTTGTTGGTGTTCTGGATGTCGGTGGAGGCCTGCTGGATGGCGCTGCTGGCGGCGGTCTGAGCTCTCTGGACTTCCTTCAGAGCTTGCTTGACCTTCTCTGCAGAGTCCTTCACGTCTGCTGCCTCCTCACTGACAAACAAGAAGAACATTTATTAAAGCTGTTAGAGACTTTTCGACCAAAGGGGGTCACTGAAAGATTCAAACGTGATGAAGAACCTCGTTAAAGTCCCATCTGACTCAGAGTTCAACGAGATGTTCTGAAAAATCTAAAACAGAGATAAGTGGCTCTGTGCAGCTACTGGACCGACAGGTAGGACTCACCTGGCTCGGCGGGCCTGGTCCAGCAGGTTCTCGGCTCTCTCGATGTCGTCGGCGCTCTGCTGCAGGATGGTCTCAACGTGTCCCAGCTCTCCCACCTTCTGTCGGATCTCGTCGGTCAGGACCTGCAGCTGAGCCGGCGTGGTCGGCATCTGCATGGCCAGAACCTCGTTGGCCACCAGCTCGATGCTCTCCAGGTCCGCAGCGTCCTCTGAAACAGACCAGCGGGCACGTGACTTATTGTGGTTTTATGACCTTTGCTGCGGTCTCAGACTGGTTTTACTCTGGCAGGACGTTCAGCACCGCTGCAGACGGGACAGAACGTCTACAGCGTCGTCTCAGTTTCCATTTTCAAAAGAAGCTTCTCAGAAATTTTCCTTTGATTAGAACATATTATTTATTTTTGCTCTGTTGAGATCCGTTATTAAGATCAGCAGGACTCCTTCAGGACTCCAGGTCCTGAAGGAGTCCTGCTGGAGAGACTGCATAATGTCTTCTGAGGGTTTCTGAGGATTCAGGATCCTCTGGAGCTGCTGGGGTTAAAGAAATATTGGACACTTGTTGATTTAGAATGTGAAACGTCTACAAATGTGCATTTGTTGTAAGAAGCCACGCCCACTTCAGTCACCAAATTTGCCAAATAAATTTATAATACCAAATATTATGCATCGACTGAGCGCTGACAACAAAGAGGGGTTCAGGAAGGTGGGTCAGCCTTTGGGAGGTGACCCCGGTGCTGTCAGAGAATCACTACGCTGGGCTATTAGACCCGGGAGACACCGCAGGTTTTTTTGTTATAAAACTCAAACTGAGTATTTCTGTTTGCTAGCTGGGATCTAGAACAGGAGGTTCTGGTTGAGATGTGGAGGAGCCCTGACTGACCCTGTGGCGAACTGTGTGTTTCTTGTCTGTCGGTACCGTTGAGGTCCTGGCTGTAAGTCACTGTTAGAAGGTGGACTCGTGGACTGAAAGACGGTTCAACATGCAGGTAATGTTTGTGTGTAAATATGACTTTTTAAATGATGTTTGAACCATCTCCATGTTTTTACTTCATGTAGGACACACCTGGGGGACCTGAAGGCCTCATGTCTCAGGACACCTGGTCGAAACAGGAAGTGAAAGACCTACGTGTGAGGAAGTCTCGGATCTGTCTGATGAGACTTCTCAGCTCCTCGTTGCTCTGGTCCACCTTCTGTTTGGTTCTGTTGGCCTTGGTCAGGACGTCCTGGGCGCTAAGCTTCGCCTCGTCTGCTTGCAGCTTGGCCTCCGACACCTGCAGAAAAAACATAGGTGAGAACATCCACCACAGTCAACCGGAACCGGAACAGACCGGGACCCGTCGGACTCACCATCTTGGAGAGTTTCTCCACTTCCTCCATGGCGCTAATGATTTCCTGTTCAGAGTCCCGGGCCTTCCTCCAGGCGCCGCTGGCCGTCGCCACCACGCCGTCACATCCGTCACCTCCACACTTGGTGCGACCCTCAGGGTCCACACAGCCCAGACCTCCACAGGGAGAGGACCAGCACGAGTCCTGACCTGACGATGGACTGCCGCAGGTCTGTAAGAACCAGGATGTAATCCGAAGGATTGATTAGTTTCTTTCACTGAAATGTCAGTAAACAAGAACAGAACCTGGTTCTAACTTCCCACCTTGTGGCTGAGCTCTGATAGGTCCAGAGTCTGCAGCTCTCCTGCCAGGTCGTCCAGTCTCTGAGCGTGCTCAGTGTGTCTCCTCAGGAACTCCTCTCTGGTTTGGTTCAGTTTGTCCTCTGTGTGTTGCCGTAGAGCGCTGGAGGTTTCCACGGGGCTGCCGGGGTCGGTGGTCGAGGCGTTTGCTTGTGCTTCGGCAGCCTGAGACCGCAGGAAGTACTTACTGACACTGTCTGTCGCCCCTGGTAACAGACAGGAAGTACAGATCAGCTGAGAGGTCCTGAATGAAGCCCCCCCCCCCAACCCGACCTTTGACTCCTCTCACCTCTGACATCGGAGTTCTTGATGAACTCGACCTGATCAAGCAGCTCCTGAACCGTCCGCTCCAGTTTCTGAGCATCCGAGGTCACCGAATCCAGTTTAGTGTCTGCATCCGAGTCCGAGTCCTCCACCTGGACCAGAGTCTGTTCAGTGTGGTTCAACATCTGGGTCAGTGCCCCCATCAGGTCACTGAGGGACACACACAGGTCACATTGATCTGAGCTGCTTTAATCTCTAGATTAATAATAAATAAGAAAATAACTAATGACAAATCAGATTAAAGTGTCATCTGTAAACATGCACACGTTCTAAAAGTTTGTGTTTAGACTCCAGATTAAGAGTAATCTCACCTGGTTTACTGCAGCAGGTTTAGACTCCAGATTAAGGGTAATCTCACCTGGTTTGCTGCAGCAGGTTTAGACTCCAGATTAAAGTTTATCTCACCTGTTTTTTGCAGCAGGTTTAGACTCCAGATTAAAGTTACTCTCACCTGTTTTTTGCAGCAGGTTTAGACTCCAGATTAAAGTTACTCTCACCTGGCTTGTTGCAGCAGATTTAGACTCCAGATTAAAGTTACTCTCACCTGGCTTGTTGCAGCAGGTTTAGACTCCAGATTAAGGGTAATCTCACCTGGTTTGTTGCAGCAGGTTTAGACTCCAGATTAAAGTTTATCTCACCTGTTTTTTGCAGCAGGTTTAGACTCCAGATTAAAGTTACTCTCACCTGGTTTGTTGCAGTAGGTTTAGACTCCAGATTAAAGTTACTCTCACCTGTTTTTTGCAGCAGGTTTAGACTCCAGATTAAAGTTACTCTCACCTGTTTTTTGCAGCAGGTTTAGACTCCAGATTAAAGGTAACCTCACCTGGCTTGTTGCAGCAGGTTTAGACTCCAGATTAAAGGTAACCTCACCTGGCTTGTTGCAGAAGCTCCTGGATCTCGGTCAGCGGTTGCGAGGCTGGGTGCTGGTTCAGGATGACCCGGATATCTGCGACACTCCTCTCCATGCTGTCGATGGACTTCGTGTACGGTCCGCTGACTCCGCTGGCTTTGACAGCGTTGACCTTGTTGACAAGCCGGTGCGTCTGATTGGTCAGCTGACCGATGACGTGGTCCCACTCGCCAAAGCACTGATGGCAGCGGCGGCAGTCAGGGAAGGTCCCGGAGAAGCCACGGGCGCAGACATCGCAGCGTGGCCCAGAAACTCCTTCGACACAGACGCAGTGGCCGCTGACTTTGTTACACTGCTGCGCTGAGATGCCGCGAGGGTCGCAGTCACATGCTGAGACAGAAAGTGAAGGTTAGACACACCTGTGACCACGCAGTGATGTCACAGCATCTTGAGGACACCTTTACATCACTTCTGCACAGCTGATCACGTGTCTGTTCCATGCCCAGCCTGTCGGTTTTACCCAGCTGTGATCAGATTAATGGATGACCAGGGAGCCGGAGTTTTACAAAATAAAAGCTTCATCCTGTCATCCATTAGTCTGAACCCGGCGTTTGTATGAAAAGAACTACTTAAAAGTTCTGCCTCCGTCTTCAGTCATGAACTCACACATTTCTGCCCCAGATGTTTGTCTCTGACGCTTCTTGTAAACGTGTTTAAACGAAAAGAGCGTGTGTGTGTGTGTGAGTTCAACATCTGGTTTGCATCAAACACAGCTGAAACTCTTCAAACTGCAGAAACAACAAACCTGAACCAGACTGAGACTTCCTTTGAACTAACAAACCCACAGACGGGGAGGGGGGGGGTTGATGATATAAACTAAATATATTTGATTGTTTTTATTTTACTTCCTCCTCTTCTTCTTCTGTGCTCTATTTTTCTCTGTTTTCTGTCCCGTTCCTAATCCCCCCCCGCTCTTCTTCACACTAACAAAGCCTCTTTGTGGACGGGAAGGAGATTTGGGGGGTTCAGACAGATCCCCAGTCTTGTCTCCATGGCTATGGGACAGCTGGGCCTCAGGGAACATCTGGTCTTAATATCAGTCACAGCAGATCACAGCGGAGGATGCTGGGAGCAGGAATGTTCCCACGATGCAGCAGGGGTTGGTTTTTTACTTAAAGGCTTGGACTCGGACCTGGACCCTGCAGGTTCTCCTGTCGAGTCCCTCACGTCCATGTTCATGTGAAAATTCATCTTTCCGTTTTATTTCCAGGCCTCTAAAACTTCCAGTTGTTAAATTACCACCAGTTCTCCAGTCACATGGAGGGAACGTACCGTGACACTGGACCTCTGGGTCTCCCCAGAACAGCTCTCTACACTCGCTGCATGTTCTTCCTCCAAAGCCGGGCTGACAGGAACACTGCCCGCTGACCTGTGGGTCAAACAGACGGTTTACATTCAGAAATCGACAAACTCACTTTAGCTCACAATGTTTACCTTCTAAACTTAATAATAATTCATTGTGAAGTTTGTTGAGCGTCACGTGACAGCGTGCTCCTCACCTTGTTGCAGGACGTCCCGTGTGAGTGTTTGGGGTCGCAGTCACAGGTCTGACAGCCGCGGCCGCTCGCCATGTTCCAGGTGTCGGCCGTGCAACGGTCGCAGTGTTGACCGATCACATTCGGGAGGCAGCGGCACTGACCGCTGTTGAGGTCGCAGTGACAGTCGCCGGATGACGGACAGGTGGAGGGGTCGCTGCCCAGCTGGTTACAAACGCACTCTGTGGACAAGAACCAGGATTCATTCAAATTAAATGTCATCACTTGTCAGATCTGATGGTCTCTGGTAACCCAGTAAACCAGTGCACTCACTCCTGCAGTCCTGCAGCAGGGCGTTGCCGTAGTAACCCAGCTTGCAGCTCTGGCAGGCGGCACCCTCGCTGTGGTGAAGACAGCGCAGACACTCGCCGGTTCGGGCGTCGCAGGATTCCGGGTCCAACATGTCGATGTTGTTGTTGCAGTGACAGGGTTGACAATGCCCCCCCGCCTCCCCAGGGTTTCCGTAGTAACCAGGTGAGCACTCGTCACAGCGAGCACCTGCAGAGAGGAAGTGACAGAGTTACAGACCTCATACACGTCCAACAACACATCTGTTCCTCACATCATTGACTCTTCAGCTGCTGGGATCATTTTACAGGCTTTTCAGCACGCACACTTCCCCTGATTTCACTTCCTGCTCTGTGATTTGGGCTGCGGTCGTAAAGTCAAAAAAATCTCCTTTCCTAACCACCTTTAACCAAGGAGAATCCATAAGCACTTAGGAAAAGAGGACCGCGGGGCTTAGAGAATCCGACGTTGCCGCCGCAAGGTGGGGCGCCATTCTCTCCTTTCCTTTCGTAAAGGATGGTCAGGTGTACCCTATGATAAAGGAGATATGAAAGGAAGCATTGAGTCACCTTTCCTTGGCTTTTAGAGAATTCGAACAGCTCTCATCATGGCTGCCACTGAAATACTTCCGGTTCACTTCACTCAGTTAGGAACCTTCCTGAGCAAAAAGACTTTTCGAACGCAGCCTTGGATTTCCTGCTGTTGTTTTGGTAAGCCTTCCTCTCGGTGTATTTCACTTCCTGTCTCAGTGTTGTGTGTTCCTCGTGTAATTTATTTATTTGTTCTGTTTCATGTTTTACTTTGGTATGCTCCCCTCCTCTCTGGCCACTTCCCTTCCTGCTTCCTTGATTGTTTCCACCTGTGTCTCGTCAGTCACTTCCCTCTTGGTGTGTAGAGTCTGTGTGTTTCCTCTCGTCAGTTGTCAAGTTCATCACACGTCTTCTTGTATTTCAGTCAGTTTTCTCGTGTTGACTTTGATCATGTGTTTCCCGTGGACATGTTCCTTGGTTGGACTGTGGTGTGACCCTGCCCGCCTCACCTAGTTGAAAGCCTTTTTTCTTCCTTCTTATCTTTGGTTATATTCGTGTCACTGACTGTTTTCAGTGCTTCACTTCTAACTCCGCTACAGTCCAAGACGCTTTGATCTGTTCACAGTGTTTCTACCTGTAACTGTAAGCAGGCACACTTTCTTCACAAATGTAGCAAATTCTATTTTATAACTGGATCTTTGTTTAGATATTAAAACCTGGCGGCCAATCAGAAGCCAGTGTTGTCATGCTGCAGCTTTGTATAGACAGAATATTTTCCACTCTGTCTATGTCTGTCAGCAGTTGAACGTCACATTCCTGCTCTGCCTCTGATTACATGACACTAAATCACAAAGCTTCTTCTCCTTAAATTAAACCTATTTGTCTCCGCAGGGCAGCTGAAAAACTTCCTGCTGA